GACTCCTCCCTTGCCAACATTTATATTTGTGTCCCCTAGTCCTACTATTCTCATTGTTAAAAATAAAAAAAAGATGATACATCAACACTATCAATTCCCTTTACAATCTAAAACACCTCAATCAGATCCCCCTAACTCTTCTGTTTTCAAGGGAAAACAATTTGAGAGATTTCAGCCTCTCATCATATGACAACCCCCCCATCTCAGTCACCATTCTAGTAACCCTTTTCTGAACCCCTTCCAACAATTCAATGTCTTTCCTAAAGTAAGGAGCCCAAGACTGAACACAATATTTCAAATGTGGCCTAACCAGTGACCTGTACAATGAAAGTATAACCTCTTTAGACGTGTATTCAATACTTCTATAGATACAACCTAAAATCCTATTTGCCCTACCACTAGCAACACCACACTGCTTGGATGGCTTTAGAGACTGATCGATTATTACATCATGATCCCTTTCCTTCATAACACTATTAAGGTTATTCTCATTCAAATTACACTTATAATTCAAATTATGATAACCCACATGCATTATCTTGCATTTATTATAATTAAAACTCATCTGCCATTTTTTGCTTAATTCACTAAATGATCTAAATCCTTTTGTAAATCAGCAGCATCCGCTTCACAACTAGCAACACCCAAGACCTTAATATCATCTGCAAATAAGTAATTCATTGACTATCCTTCATCTGTATCATTGATGTAAATCTAAAAGAGCAAAGGTCCTAAGACTGAGCCCTGAGGTATCCCACTGTGAAATTAATCCAGTTTGACTGAACTCCATTTGTAACAACCCTCTGCTTTCTTCCATCCAGCTATTCTTCTATCTAGTTTACTAACTTATCCCCCACATTTATAGAGATGTATATTTTTTTTACAAGCTTTTTATGTAGCACCTTGTCAAATGCTTTCTGAAAATCCAGATACACCAAATCTATACCCTTACCCTCATCTACATAAGCAGTAAACTTTTCAAAGAATTTTAAGAAATATGTAAGGTAAGATTTTCCCTTAGTGAAACCATATTGACTATCCAATAAAATTCGAAACTTTGTTAAATGACTTTGCAAAGCATCTTTTAACAGACTTTCCAAAACTTTTCCCACAACTGATGTAAAACTAATAGGTCTATAATTAGCGAGACAATTTTTATCACCTCCCTTGAAAAGAAGAGTTACATTAACTAACTTCCAATCCTCTGGTACCTACCCACAATTCAAGTATTTACAAAAAATAGTAGCAAGTGGCTCACATATCTAATCTGTAACCTCCTTCAAAACCCTTGGGGAAATATTATCTGGCCCAAGAGCCTTATCATTTTTTAAACTTCCCAATTTTTTCTTAATCGGCTCAAAATTAATGCAGTCATCTTGTTTGATCTTGTTTCCATTTATCAACTGTTCAAAATGTGGAATACTGCTTAACTCTTCGTTAATAAAAACCGAAGAAAAAGCTAAACTTAATAACCCAGCCATCTCATAATCATTAGATACTAACCTTTATCATCCCTCAAGGGTCCTATCCCTATCCTAACATTTTGTTTCCCCTTAATGTATCTAAAGAAATCCTTACTGTTAATTTTTACATTTTTGGCCAACTTTTTCTCATACATCCTTTTGGATGTCCTAATTTCCTGTTTCACCAACTTTCTTGATCTTCTATAATC